AAAAAAAAAAAAAAAAAAAAAAAACATGCACACACAAAGAAGGGACTGAAGGGCATGGAAGAACATGTCAGAGCTCTTTGATCGGTCCATCTGTACATAGTACATCGGTGTCATGGTTGAGCAGTGGGGTGGGTGCTATGCTTCATTCATGTGCCAGATGCTGGCATGTGTGCTACCTACCTTCTTCCCCTCCCCCCGAATACAACGTACGCCGTACGGTCATTATATCTGTATTTAGACTGAAAGATACCCAGGATGCAGATATAACTGATCGTACGTTGTAGTCGAGCGAAGAACGTAGTCATCGTAAGGAGAAAGAAAAGGGGGTGGCAAAACCAACGCGCCTACCTCAGTTGGTACACCCGTGAACTGCTCAAATTCTAATGCAGACCTCGGTTCGAATCCCAATGAACTCAGATGAGTAAAAAATTACTAAAAATATAACTCTAGAACATTACCTCATGTTGAATCGATGTTGATGCGTCGTGCCGTTCTCTGTGTGTGTGTGTGTGTGATCTGACGCCGGGCTGTGTGGTTCGGCACCCATGCTGTCCAGGGTGCGGTACCTGCAGGATCGGGGGCTCAGCAGGAGAGAGGTGGCGTATATGGTATGCCGATTTCCACAACTGCTGGGCTATACTGTTCCCAAAGTTTTGAAACCAAAGTTGGACTTCCTTGTCGAGGAAATGGGCCGGTCTGTTCACGAGGTTGTTGAGTTTCCGCGCTATTTTAGCTTTCACTTGCAGAAGCGGATAATGAAGCGGCATATGCTTTTGCGAAGGAAGGAGTCGAGAGCCTTACGGTCTGGTGGACAGACAGTAGAAAAAGCTGAAAAAGTGAAGCTGGAGGCGATGTTGCGGCCCTCCGACAGAGCGTTCGCCGAAGAACACTTAGGGGTCGAACATCTTCTTCTCTTTCCGACATCAGCTGTGAGTGGAAGTGCGAGAGGTGAGTGAGCTTGCAGGAAATTTTCGCGCAATGGATATGGAATGATGATTATAGGCCTTGCTGCACTACAAAACACTCTTACGTGCATTTTTTCTTTTGGACGCGTTCTGGCCCAGGTGCATTTGGAAGGAGTCTCGGAGTCTCCAAATTTTGTGATGTAGCGGGTGTAGAAAGCGTCCGAATGGCATGCAGAGTGTTGTGTAGCGGAGCGAGGCCCTCCCTATGTTCCCCCTTTTAGTGCCGTCCAACGTGCCAGGACGCCCGACATGAGACCCTTGAGCATGGTTATCGGCAGATGCTCCGCAGGCATGCAGTCATCCCTGGGAGGGATGGCGATATCCCCTGCCTTGCCTGCAGCAGTGAGAGAGAGAGAGAGAGAGAGAGAGAGAGAGAGAGAGAGAGAGAGAGAGAGAGAGAGAGAGAGATGAAGGCATCAAGTGTCCAGGCAGTCAGCACGGGGGAACCATAGATGATGTTTGCACAGAGCTCGTAGAAAGTTCCTTCAAACTCCTAGCCGTCGAGGGATTGTGGCGACGGTCTCATTTGGTAGGGGAGTGGCCTCTCTGGGCTTGACGTGTCGTGTGGAATGATGACCACGATGGCTTTGCAAGCACCTCACAGAGGGAGAGGGATGTCCGTAGTCCCCTCGCGGAGGAGGGTTCGTTCTGCCTTGGCTCGTTGCATCCGTAGAACCTCAGGGCCACTTGTTGCCGTGTCATGTGGATTGATGACCACAATTGCTTTGCAAGCACCATAGTCCCCTCGCGGAGGAGGGTTCTGTCGGCAAACCATCCTTAATCTTGGCTTGTTGCTTTTTGGATCGAAGTTATGCCGGGGATAACAAGCCGATGACTCCCAAGCGCTTATATCGATGGACTCATTTGACGCCGCCAGTAATCCCCAAAGTCACTGAGCCCATCATCTTGGGGTACTTACACAATAATGTGTAGGCGCGGAGCTGGACTGGGTATATGCTGGGAACTTCGCCGAGTATCCCGACCGAATGACAAATGCGTCGGTGCGGACAATCAATCAGCAGGGAAGTCGTACATGTGTTGATACATGCGCTGCGCCACAGCACCTCAGGGCTGCTGGTTGAATGGAGGCAATAGTGTCCATAAAAAATCAATCCAGCTTGGATCCGAAAATTTTAGCCGGCAAATGCAAGAAGGGGAAAGAAGCACTGGAGCACCTACAACTTCTACAAGTGTCTGCAGCAGGCGTGCAAGTCGAGAGATCGAAGCTGAAAAGCATGAAATGCAGGTGATGGGGAGACAACAGGGCAAGCATTTGGCTGTTGAAAGCTGGGGAATCCATATAAAAAGCACCGGAATAAATGCAAACAGTCTAGGCCAGGAGGCAGCCAGTGTGAAGAGCCATGAGGCAGCCAGTGTGAAGAGCCATGAGGCAGCCAGTGTGAAGAGCGATGAGGCAGCCAGTGTGAAGAGCGATGAGGCAGCCAGTGTGAAGAGCGATGAGGCAGTAAGTGTGAAGAGCGACGAGTAAACAAGTGTGGCAAGCTTTGGCTACAGAAGCGAAGTGTGCAGAGGACAGAATGAGACGAGAGCCCACTCGAAAGGGAAAGGGAAGCCAAAGGAAGGGGTGCAACTCGTGAAAGTCACATAGTACAGGATCAGCAGAAAATCCAAGCTATATCACCAACCGTACTGACTTTCAATGTGATTGTTCAGACTTGTTCCCCCCTCCCCCAAGGACCAATCATACAGAGAGTCCATCTAATTTTTTGTACTCCACCTTTTCTGCACAACCAGTCTAAAAGAAAAGAAGGTGGGGGATGCATGGACCCCACACATGGCACATGATCCTCCACCCTCGTGGCAAGAAGCTGGAAACCAAATAGCATCTGGGGAAGCCCTACAACGGGCCCTCACCATGTGTGTGTGTGTGTGTGTGTGTGTGTGTGTGTGTGTGTGTGTGTGTGTGTGTGTGTGTGTGTATGTGTGTGTGTGTGTGTGTGTGTATATATATATATAGATAGATAGATAGATGATAGATAGGTAGATAGATTAGATAGATTAGATAGATAGATTAGATATAGATTGATTAGATAGATTAGATAGATAAGATATAGATTAGATAGATTAGGTTAAATTAGATTATAGATCAGATAGATTAAGATTAGATGGATTGGATTAGATGGGTTAGATTAGGCAGGTTAGATTAGATGCATTGGATTAGATCAGATTAGCTAGATTACATTCAGAGACAAAAGACGCAAAAAGACCCCCCCCTCCTAAGCCCCCCTGACCCGGACATTACAAGCAGGCGACAAAAAATCCGTCACTTGCTCCGTAAAGGTGGGATAGTGAATGTGTCACTGGACAAAAGACTGGTGTTGCTACCAGTCAGACACAAAGATGGAGCCTGGGAGGTAGGCCTCTCAGTACCTCCAGGGGCAACACATGGGGAAGTCAGTGTTAAAGGCCGATCGTCCTTTCTCCTCTCTCTCTCTCTGTGCATGGGGAGGTGGTCCAACACTTTTAAAATCGGACATTGCTCAACTGATCTGAGACCGTCTCCCGCAAGGTGCGTCCTCATACGGTGAACATAGACTGTCGGTGAAGGACATATACCTAAGATACGACCAGGCAAAGGTGGAGGGCCTTCGCTGGTTCAACCAGGAGACGCTGATGGACCTGCAAATATTAAATAATTTAAGATCAAAAGTGCGCAGGTCCCCGGGTCTGAAGTTGACATTGATGCTGACGAATCGCACTCCACAGAATGGCAGTCCACTGGACAAAGAGGCATGGCTACCACTTACAAAAAAAAAAANAAAAAAAAAAAAAAAAAAAAAAAAAAAAAAAAAGCCTCTCAAGGAACAAAAAAGAAACGAAATGGATGTGTGATTGACGTGTAATATAATATGGACAAACAATGGAGGCTCTGCAAGAGGACAGCTGATCTGGATCTGCGTTCGCTGAACGTAAACAGACTGGCGTCTGCAAATCAACCTAAACGCCGTGCGATCATGGAACGTCTTAGAGGGGTGGAAGGGAGAGATTGGCCTGACGCCGTCATATGCTTACAGGAAACTCACCGGTCAGACAGCCCCGAACACAATCACATGCACAAGGAGACTTGGCCATACCAGGCCTACCGAGCCCACCCCCCGAAACCGGACAGTGGAGGGGTGGCCATATGGCGCCCCGCCGGATCCAGGTGCCCCCCGGATCCAGGGTGGGGACCGCTTCACCAGGAGGCTGACCAGGAAGCTGGGACGTGGGTGTGCATACTCGCAATGTTGGAAATAGAGGTGGTTAGCATCCTAAACGCCTATGGCCCAAATGACCCTAGATGGCTGGATAGATGGAAGATCCCATCACCATGCCTCATCTATGTGGAGAACGATGAAAGGACCATTACAGATTAAGAAAAAAAAAAAAAAAAGATTTAACCCAATCTCTCAGCCTTATAGAATAGACACGTTCAGGCAGGCATTCCCTACGGAATGCAAGTTCACTTGCGTCCGCAAAAATCAGACAGAGAGAGTATCCAAATCACGCATAGATCTGATCTAATCTCAGAGGAGCTGCTCCCCACCAATAGATGGAGCCCTCCCCGGGTGCTACCGGTGTCTGCTCGTACCACCACCGCTAGCACTGACGGGTGCGTCTTTTCAAAAAAAAAAAAATAATTAAAAAAAATAAATAAAAAAAAATCAGAGGAGCTGCACCAAGTTTATGACGTCGGTGAGACAGAGACAAGAGGAGACATCCTGTATGAAAATTCCAGAAGGAGCTTAGAACCTTAGATGTAAATCTTTTTTTTTTTTTTTTTTTTTTTAAAGGAAAACTTTGAATCGTGAACACCACTTAGGGAGGTGATATGAGCAGCCTCCCTAAGTGGCTCCGCGGTTGAAGGCTCCATCTATTGGTGGGGAGCGTAAATCCTCTTCTGTGGGGGTATTACTATGGGACTCTCAGAGGGAGAACAGACGGAGTGCATCATCCACAAACAACTTTGGTACCGGGAAAAAGAAAAAAAAAGGTTTGGTATTATCCACATACTCGTAGTAGTGGAAACTGGGCTGGTACTCTTTCTTTCTTTTTTTTTTTTTTCTCAGGTTTCATCATATCATATAAGGGATATTATTGGATCCGTTTTCCAGCACGTGCAGCTCCCCGAAGACATAGACAGGAGCCAATCACGATCCGAAGGCCTCAATTGTGGGGATTCCTTCACCATCGCCGCGGTTCCAGTGGCCTTGCACTATGGGGCCTTGCCTCTAGAAGAGCAATGGCTACTCCCATAAGCTTGGGCCCATGTTCATTTGTTTGTGCATGGGACTCTCAGCATCTGTACATCAAGAAAAAAAGCTGGGGCATAACAAAACACCAAGCAGCATGCAATTCCTGCTGCAGCACTTTCATGGGTTGATCTTTGGACCCCAATTCCCAAGAAGTTCAGTTGAAAAAATGATATCCCTCCCTGTCCTCGCGCCATCAGACCTCTTATCATCAGGAGAACCATCTTAGACAAGCCACTAACAAAACGCCCCTCCGAGCAGCAAAGGGGAAGCCAACCGCCCAACCATTTTGTGTGCCGATACACAGTTTACGAAGCATTGTGAACAATCCGCTAACGAAACATTTCCCTGATGAGTGGAAGGGAACCCAAACATTGTGTGCTAATGAGCCCAACCTGGACAAGGTGTTGCATATACTTGTGCACGTGCATGTGCATGTGCATGTGCATGTGCAGGTGGATGCGCATGTGCATGTGCATGTGCATGTGCATGTGCATGACATCCTTGACACCTCCTATGTCCTTCCCTACCCATGTGAGTATCGTACAAGCAGACTGATGAGCGTAACATGCAGCCATGAAATCCAACTTAATCTGTAAGCACAATGATTGGACAGTTAGTTGTAAAGTGCTGCTTTTTACTTGGTGATTGCAGTTCATAGTTTGCCACACATGAATCCTCTCTCTCTCTCTCTCTCTCTCTCTCTCTCTCTCTCTCTCTCTCTCTCTCTCTCTCTCTCTCTCTCTNCACACACACACACACACACACACACACACACACACACACACACACACACACACACACACACACAGAGTTGCACTTGAGGAAGAAGTTGGACTGATAACTTCCTTCTGAAAGATGGTTGCTGAATCTGGTCACTTCCAAAGTGTGACCATAGTGGAATGTTACATACACTCCCTGTGCACTGACCTGCCCCTCGTGCCCTCTGCCTACATCTTGGTGAATTTTAGCGGTGAATCTCCCAAACTCCGTTTCCACCTCACTGTGCAGGTATTGCACCTCTCCCTCAACTAAAACTGGGTCACCTCTCCCTCAACTAAAACTGTCCTTAGTGGCTCTCTCAGACTGCTTCGTCTCTCACTAACCCTGATGCAGTCGCTGCACTGTGGTATGAACTGCAGCCTCTTCCCACTCAGCCTGTGACACATCTGCTGTAAATAGATATATGCTGTTTGTTGCGCCCAGCAGTTGATTGCGACGGGACCACCTGTACTATCGGTATCGCATCGAGTCTTATTAGAATGGAGCTGGCCTAGCTCCAGTTGGTACAACCGTCAACAGTTGGTACACCGTACACCCATGAACTGTTGAAATACAGACCCCAGAAGAAGAAAAAAGAAAAAAAAAAGAAAGAAAGAAAGAAAGAAAGAAAGAAAGAAATACAGACCCCAGTTCAAACTCCAATCGAAGCAAATGCGTAAAACACTTCGATTCCGAATTACCTTGGGTTGGTCAGTTTAATGACGATAAAGAAAAATCAAACTTATCAAAGGGTAGTAGGGTACTCAGTACTACTCACTATTTCATTATTAAAAAAAAAAAAAAAGGACGAATTGCACTGGTCCCACCAGGCAGGCCGGTGGCCCGGTACATTAAAAAATCGAGGCATCCTTCCTGCTGCAGGCGGCACGTTCTCATTGACTGGGGTCGGAACTTGCCGCCTGCATGAGGCTTTTTTTTTTTTTTTTTTTTTGCCAACACCCGTCAGTGCTGGCGGTGCTGATAAGAGAAGACACCGCTAGCACCTGGGGGGACTGCATGAGGCTGCATCGTTGGCATGAGGCTGGTTGTTTAAAGTTTTAAACATACACCTGCATGAGGCTGCATCATTGGCAGAGCAGTGGCGACTGCATTCACTGCATCTTATGTGCCCGGGTGCCCGAAATTTCATCCTTGGACACTGCGGCTTCTCTCACTCCCTACCCCACAACTGACTCTTGCCCTGCTTGCCCACCATCAAGCCACCTGTGGCACAAAAAGCACTTAATCTCGATTCAGGAGGACTCGTGCCCCCTTCTCTTTGCCCATGAATGGAATGTCAGTTCGCATGTTTTTTACCCAGCTGCTCATTCTGATAGGCCTTTACGCATCCCTATGCCAAATTTTTGTTTCCCCTCTCTTTTTTTTTTTTTTTTTTTTTTTTTTTCATCTCTGCGTTTGGAATTGGCCACCCAGAACAAAGGTCAATACAGTCCACTGCACCTTTCATGGAAACAAAGGTCGATACAGTCCACTGTACCTATCATGGAAACAAAGGCCAATGCAGTCCACTGCATCTGTCATGGAAAGCAACCTTCTGGTTCTACACAGCTGACCGAGGTTGGAGGGGTCCATATGACCCCTTGAAGATCTCATTACGAGGGGGGTGGAAGGCAAGCTTTCTACGCACTGGATACAGGCCTAGGGCTGCACCTACTGGGGGGTCTATCCACCTTCTACAAGGGAACCCTCTGTTGCAGAAAACTGTGGTTCTGTGCTCGT